GTCCCCAAAGGTAGGGGCTGGGGGGGGGCTATTTACAGCTATGCTAGCCAAAATGCAGAGGGAAGAATCCTTCTAGAATCTGGGGAGAAAGTGGGACTACTGCTGGACAGGGAAGTGGCCCCCAAACCCCAAAGATTTATCTCAACCTATCAATAATGCCAAAGCTGGAAACCCTCTCCTAGAGGGCCTTCAGCTAGCCCCAGAACTCTTGGGAGATGGTTTCAAATATAAAGTCTAGAAGCCCACCTGTGAGATTCTAACCCTACAGAGTGTTACATGAGACCTGGAACCTGCATTTTTTTTTTTTGAGACAGAGCCTCAAGCTGTACCCCTGGGTAGAGTGCTGTGGCATCACAGCTCACAGCAACCTCCAACTCCTGGGCTCAAGCAAGTCTCCTGTCTCAGCCTCCCAAGTAGCTGGGACCACAGGTGCCTGCCACAACGCCTGGCTATTTTTTGGTTGCAGCCATCATTGTTGTTTGGCAGGCCAGGGCTGGATTCGAACCCGCCACCTTAGGTGTATGTGGCTGGTGCCTTAGCCACTTGAGCCACAGGCACCAAGCCTGGAACCTGCATTTTCAAGCATTCCAGGTAATTCTGTTATACCTAGACAATATTTCACACCAAAGTCTTGGTCTGGCTCTGCTCAGGGTACTCTGTTGAGACAGACCTGGCATATGGGGCCAGCGCCTTACTCCTTTGAGCCACAGGTGCCACCCTGCCCTCACTTTTTGGTTTTTACAAGTCAAGCAAAACTGCGGTGGCTGCCAACTGATTTCATTCCTGGAAACCCTAAGGTTTGTAAACAGGTTACCTGAGGCACACAGGTAAGGAGATTATTAGGCTCCTCACATTTCCAGAAATTATCTTATTTCTGTTCAAAACAACCAAAATTAACCAAGGACTATGCTTTGGGGGCTTGAGCAGGGAGAGGTGACCATGTGGTCAGCAGAAATAGCACCTCCCTGTGGCCTCTCCCCACTGAGAATCTGGGATGGTAGGTGTCTATCCCTGTTATAGATTGGAATGTGCCAGATCTCTCAGGAGTGTTGGGGTAGGAAAAAGTCAAAGACTGTTTGGGAAGCCTGGGATCAGAGTGGCACGAAGTTGACAGGTTACCTCCACTTTGTCACTTGGCAGCACTTGGCACCTAGTAACTGCTCAATAAGCACTAGCCATTGTTACTATTAAATATCCCCGAAGGATGGTTCATACAGACACTAGTTTTGTCAGGAGAATTATTGCTCTTTCCAGCTCAAAGCCAAAGCTCTAAGGATGCCGTTTTCAACACTGGCACCATACATTCCCACTGGTGTTGCATGAACTGGACACAGTCCTCTGGAGGCTTCAATCCTGCATGTAGACTCTGCCCTGTCGGCCACACTCTGTGTGCTGCTTTGTGTTCCTCACCTACCTTTGCTTTTCTCAGTGGGCTTGTGCTCTGTCCCAGGGTGGTCTCCAAGGCTGGTTCCCACTCTGACACTCATTATGTTTCAGGGGCACCCTGCTTCTAGCCCCTGCCCATTTATGGATACCTTTTGCTTCATGCAGGTCCTCTGAGCACCTGTGTCGGAGCCCACCATTTAATGATGTGCTTCCCGCATTGGGAGCTGAAGGTGGGGGTGTGTGTGTTTGAAACAGAGAACTATAAAAGAAGTCTCCATCTATAATGACTGTGTCCAAAGCCCTGAACCCCTGGACCAACCCTGGCATGGCTTCTGGCAGCTCAAGGCCATATCCCTGGAACCATCGGGCCCCCTTTTGAGTTCCTGTCTGAAAAAGTTCAAGGCTGTCAAAATAATTTACTGTTTGTTCTCAATAGCACCTGATGATAAACCTCATAACTACTCTTCCCCACTTCTTGGAGCATTTACTAGAAAAGGCTTGGGGCCAGCACTCACACCTGTAATCCTAGCATTCTGGGAGGCCAAGGTAGGTGGATTGCTTGAGCTCACGAGTTTGAGACCAGCCTGAGCAAAAGCAAGACTCCATCTCTACTAAGAAAAACTCTTGAGTGCAAGAGTTAGAGGTTCCTGTGAGTTATGATGCCATGGCACTCAACTCAGGACAACAGCTTGATACTCTCTCAAAAAAAAAAAAAAAAAAAAAAAAGAAAGAAAAGAAAAGGCTTGGACTTGTAAACCATCTGTCCCTTCGAGATACACAAATGTCTCACCTCCAAGTAGTGAGTGCCTTTCTCCTGGACCTGAAGGACAGTCCTTGGAAACATCACCAGGAAGGATGAGGCCTCTGTCTCCCAGTCCCTGTGGAGTTAGAACTCTAACTTCCATCACCGCCAGGCACACACACTGGCCTGGCCACATCAACACTGACCCACCCTATGCAATTTTTTTGCACCTGTGTTCCCAATTGCCCTCTCCCCCCAACTCCTGTCCCCTCCACACTCATCTGTGTGAGCTCAGCTCTTTTCCCTACTGTCAGTAGTTACTGAATAAAATCTGTTTTCACGGCTTTAACGAACATCCAGCTTTGTTTATGTTTGACAAAACCTGCTCATCCTACAGGTTCCAGCTCTGGGTATGGAGGAAAAGCCTCTAAGAGTGAGCGAGTCCAGCCACTGAGCGAGGGGGAGCAGACCTCTCTCCCTGAAATGGCTGCACAGGAAGAAAGGACAGGTGGGAGAGGCTACCCTGCTTGGGAAAGAGCAGCCTGCCCTGTGCAGCCTGGGTGAGTATGAGTCCTCCCGCCCCCAGGCTGCTCAGTGAGAACTCAGGGAGGGACACTCATATGCCAGGAGAGTGTCCAAAGACACCAATAATCCAAATCATAGAGGCCAAGAACCCAGAGAATGGAGACCAAAAAGGGGATACACTACCCTACTCCCTGCCCCCCAACTCTAACTGTGGGACAACAGGGATCTTCAGCATCCCAGACCCAAAGCCCCAGTGGTGGCCATGCAGCAGGCTGGGCCTGGCTTCAGAGTTACCGTGGCCAGAGATGGAAGAATGGTCCCCAGGCCCAGGGCTGACCCAGGGGGGCCCGGGTAAATGCCCCGAGATAGTACCTCCTTGTTTAGTTTCTTGTCTTTTCTCTGGGCCCTGCTTCAGAGGGCCATGGGGTCCACCCTGTCCACTATCTCTGTTTCACTCTCAGAGTACTGCAGTCTGACTTCACCGCCCATCACCAAAGCTGCCAACTGATCTTGACTTCTTCGGGGTGTAGGGGAATGTGGGTCTGTGATACTCTGGACTTATACTCACTTGGTTCTCTTCCTGCCTCCTGACCCTTCCCAGCAGCTTCCATGGGTCTGACTCCATCTGTCCACCCCATCAACTCTGGGACTCCTCTGAATCCCCTAAAGACTCCTCAAAGATCTTAGTTATCTTATACCGATGGCTCCCACTCAAACCTCATCTTTTTCTAGACCTTCCAACACACCCATCTAATATTCACTGGCCCTGGACACTCAGCAGGAAATGGAAGAAAACCTCAGCTGGTCACATCCGTCTCCTGCATCTCCTGCTTTGCTCAGAGTTGCCCCAGCTAGACAGGGAGGAGCATCCTCTCTCTGGGCCACCTGCCTGCAGGTGCCCTCTCCCTCCCTTTCCCCAGGCAACAGACTTCTACCTGAGTCCCTAACAACAGCCCCACCCAGGTCCCCTCCATTGTGCAACCTATAGAGATGGTTCCAGAAATCAAAATGGCTCAGGTCATGCCTCTCCTTTAAAACCCTCTGGAGGCACCCACTGCCCTTCAGATCAGTCCAAGGTCAAATGCTTCTGGGCTCTCAGGGGTCTGGCTCTCTCCTAGGTACCCCCTACCCCATCCTCCTATTCCTAGGGAACTTCTTTCAGCCTTCCCGACACCTGGTCCTGCCCTTAGGGTGCCCAGCTACCCTTGCCTAAATCCCTGCTCCATGCAGGACACTGAGAAGACAGATCCTGGCCCTCAGTGATGAGGCCACACTGGGCCCTGCTCTGCTGCAGAGTCCCAGGGGCCTGCATGCTGCCATACAAGGCTCAGAAGGGTGGTGGTCACAGCTCTACTTGAACAAGCCTCCATCCTCCTCTCCCCCTCCCAGGCCTGGTCTGGGCTGAGTGCAGCAGTCAGCAGGACTCATGTCTTCCTCCTGGTATCAGGAAAACGCAGTCCTCAGTGTCAGTCTCCCAGGATTGCAGCTCCAAGGCAGCAGTTGCCAGCGCCCTTTCCGCTCTCCAAATCCCCCAAAGGAAGAAATGGGAATCTGGCCATAGGGTGGAGGATGGAGAAGCCAGCAAGCTGGCAGAGGCCAGGGTTTTGCCACCACGCAATGCTCTATCCATCATCACTGTTTATTAGACATGAATCAGATGCCCAGTACAAGTCACAGGCAAAAGCCTTGTTTCACAGAAGGCCCGAGGTCAGGAGGGGAAGTGAGTGTGAAGGGGGTTTAGTGGGGCCCAGCTGGAGCCCTGAGCCACTGGCCAGCCCCAAATGGTGGGACACAACTCATTCTACTGCTATGCCAAACACCTCCCACTGACTGGGAAGGGAGGCCAAATAAATAGTCAACAAGTAAGCGAGGTGGCTTCTCTTCCCTGACAGACAGGACAGTCCATCAGCTGGGGACCAGACAAGGTGGGTGAGTTCCCACCTGACTGTGCTGGCAAGTGTCTAATGTCTCAGCTCACCCTCTTTGAGGACTGAAGGCAGGGCAGGGACTCCCAAGGATCCCTCTGCTCTGACCCTGTCTATCCTGCTGCCCAGCCTTACCAGCACACTCTGTGTCCCACTGTCCCCAGCACAGCAACGGGTGCACTCATTGCAGAGGCTTGGTCCAGTGCTCTCAGGGTCATTGGTGCTGCACCACCCCTTACCCAGCTCCAGGCACTCAGACCTGCTGTCAGAGACTCTGACTTTGAAATCTGCAGAGCCTAGGCCTCATAGGGGATGGCCACTGTGCTCAGATGCTCAGGATGGGGGGAGGGCACCATCTACAGAGAGGGGAACAGAGAGGGGGAAGGAGGACAGAATATTCTAAGACACAACTCTCCCAGCAAGCCAATGTAAGTGACTTTATAACTACAAAGGATGCTAAACATCCAGGTTTCAATCTTGACCCAAATAACAAGTTGCTCTTTAAAATGTAGCAAAGATAGTGACCTAGGTACCTGACTCCCCACCTGGCTTGAAGCACCCTGGGATGGATGTCCCTTCTTTAGAAGGACATATGTCCTCCCTTGGGCTGTGTTGAGTCCTGGCTTCTGCACCATTTGTAAAAGAAAGATCTCACCTGTCCCAGGTCCTTAGCCAGGCCCTACTTATGAGGGAGGGAAAATTCTGGAGCAGTAGGAATTTAAGAGGCTATCCCCAGTTCTAGCCCCATTCTGCACTCAAGGCTTTCCCAGAGGGCCTGGACTGGCTGGGAAGGTGGCACTTCCCCCTCTGTAGAATAGGCAGGCCCTATAGGTGTGGATCACAGGCTGCCAGCAGGAGGGAGCTGGCCAGAGGAGGACTAGGACATAGCTGTGAGGAAAGGGGAGGGATAAAGGGGCCATCAGGTATAGTTGAGCCAGGGTCATCCAGAGAGCTGGGATACCTGAAAAGCACATCACATTAAAGGGTCACTCCCTCACTATGGAGACTCCATCCCTACCACCCCCTCCCTGAGAGCATCCACATCCCTGCCCCTGCCCTGGTCACTCAGCTTACCCTCAACTCTCTCAGTTCGCTCAGAACAGATTCTGTATCACCCACCACCCCTCAATGGCCCAGCAATCCCATACGAGGCCACAGTCAGATGTGTCCTGGGAAGAAGCACTGTGAGGACAAGGAAAATGGGGCTACAGTCCCCAGCTCATCCCTGATGGCCAGCACAGGGCCATGCAGGGAGTCAGTGCTCAGGCCCCTGCTTTTATTTTTCAACACCTGACTCCAAACAAGGACTCTAACCACAGCCCTGGCTCTCCCTCCCTCCCCACCCACAGAGCTCCAAGTACCTGGGGCCAGAGTCAGCAGCAAGTCATTCCCACAGGAAGCGCACGTACCAGATGGTTTCGTTCTTCAGCTGCGGCCCAAACAGGGGATTCAGCTGAGCCAGGATGGCAATGAGCCAGCTGCCAGGGACAGCAAGGTAGGGGTGAGCTTGGGCACAGAAGGAGCCTTGCCGTGGGCACACAGGGAGGGGAGGCCTTGGTCACACTCTTTTGTTTTCTCTCAAGGTGGATGCAACTGACCCAGCAGATGGCGGGGCTGGGCTCCTGGGAGTGAAGAAGGGTCACATGGAACCATCCACACTCCAGCAAGCAGAAGGGCTCAGTCTGGTACTCATACATTTTGGTTTTGGTTTGATTTGATTTTTAGTATATTTATAAAATATCTGAGTGGGGCCTGGACCCTGGGATTAGGGAAGAGGAGTGGCTTCCAGTTATCCCCTCAGATATCTCTAGTCCAGGTTCCTAAGTTATCACATCCCAGGGGGCAGAATAGGGTGGGTTTAAGGGAAGCCACAGCAGAATCACCTCTTCCTAGGAGCCTGGAAAGAAACAAGGCCAAGCTGAGAGGAGCTAGGGAGCAGGGGGCCTCCTGCCCACCTGATCTTCAGGCTTGGGAGCTGCCTGGAGACCTGACCAGTACCTGGCATCAGCTGCTGGATATCTGGGTGGCTGTCTAGCCATGTCATCCATGACAAACATTCCAACTTCATTTGCCACAGGAATAGAACCCTAAAGACTCTGAAAGTGCCTGACTTGGAACACCTCCTGTGACCAGACCAACACTGCTTTCTACAGAGATCTGTCTTTTTCACCTTTGACTCCCTACAGCAGCCTACAGATGGCCTAACACACAGGAAGCTGTCAGAATCCTCACCTGCTTTACACTGGCTTGAGCTCTGAGTTCACGCTTTGTAAATATAATTTCTAGGTGGATATTTTCTTCAAATGGTCTTACCTTTCTTCCTGTATGCATCTAATCTGCAGCCTGCTTTCTACTTCCCATATGTTGATACCGTATTTGTAATTTTCTCACATCTTATACATGCCTCTTCTCCCCAGCCTCCCAGCCACAATCCCCTGTGTCCTGGTCTCTAAGCCATCAAATCCAAGGCCCTCTGAGGCCCTACGTGGGGCAGAGAAGGACATTCTGCCAAGCCCTAAATGACAAACAGCTGTAGAGAATGGGCTTTATATTCTGTCCAGGGAATATTTTGAAAAAACCACATGTCCTCCTGTATTTAAGTTAACATCTAATTATTATTATTATTTTTTTTTTTGA